TTACAGAAGGGATTAGGCCGTGCCGTGTCTGATCTGCTCTGGTTTCCCCACACAGGTGGTGTCGCGATCCCGTTTGCAGGCCGGGGCTGCGCTACCCGGGCGGCCTGCGGCATCAAGACGCTGGAATCGGGGGTGTTCACCTACAAACTGACCAATGTCCAATGCAGCCCAGCGCCCAAAGCGCAGACCAGCAGCGCCACCCGGACTCTGGCCTGGGGTCCCTTCACCCTGGGCAGCATCGTCCCCCGAGTCCCCCTTTTCCTCCCTGCCCTTCTGGGGTTATGCCTCTGCTAATGCCCCATCTGCATGACTGGCTGCCCCACAGGCCATTAGTGTCTCAGTATAACCAATGCGCTCTGCCTTTCCCCACGCCTGACTGTGCCTCAGTTTCCCCCTCTTTGTAAGGGGGATAACAATGGCGAGCTGCCCTTGCAAAGGTCTTTGGGATCCCTGGATGGGCAGGGGCTTGAAACAGAGTCCGATACAGCCAAAAAAACCTCTGATAATTCCGTTGGGGTTTGGAGCAAAGTGCTGGGTATTATTAATATCCCCTCACAGCTTCTCCCCCAGCCTTTCAAAGATCCCTGTGAGGGAACAGAACCCTGGACTCCTGACTTGCAGCCCCCCAGCTCTAACCACTAGACCCCACTCGCCGCCCAGAGCTGGGGATAGAACCCAGAAGTCCTGGCTCCCAGCTCCCCGGAGACTCCAGAAATGGTCCGAGTCCCCCTGTGCGTTTCAAACGGCTCTGAATAAAGCATGGCCAGAGATGGAATCGCCCAGGAGCGTCCCTGCATGCGCGTGAGTTTGTGTGTACCAGCGCTGACCGTGTCTGCTCCGCTTTCCTGTGTCTCTGCCAAACACCAGTGCTTCAGGGAGCAACTCTGCCTCCAGAACGGACTCCAATCAGAGGCTGCAGGGCACAGCAAACGCACCTGCTCTTGCACACCTCCCTCCACACAAAAACCTTGCACAATTCCCCCACCCCAGAACTAGCAAAACCCCAGCACATCTCCCTGCGAGTCACAACTTGCTCGCACAATCAGAAAAAGTCCTGCCCAGGATAAGTGTAACAGCGCCACCTGGTGACGCCTGCCCTAACGATATTCTGGAGTTCCCCCTATTCACTATTTACGTGTTGTTATGCTGAAGGTTGCTAAGGGCTGCCAACGGGTGACTCTTGGGTGCAAAGACAACCCCAGACCTCATGAGCGCCGATGGCTGTGGCAAGCACCTGCCTTCAGTCTCAGGGCAAGGAGCAATTAAGCCCCTCTAAATAGCAGAAAGAGCTAGGAAAATGGAGGTGACCACCCAAGGCACATGGCTGCTCAGAGCTGAGCCCCGTGGGCTGTGGGGAACCCAGGCACTAGGAGGTCGGCTGCAGCTGCCGTGCCGTGAAAGAGAGCGAGCTGCAGATAATATCATCAGACTGGGTTGTGTTTTCCTCCACCGTGTTTCATTGCAGAAAGGCAGAGCAACCGCTAAGAGGGGACTGCAAATATTCCAGTGTTGCCAGCACTACTGCTATTTGGTGCTTTGTTAGAGACCCTGCTCCGGGAGTCACGGGATTAGGTGAAAATTTCAGCTTTCATTAAAAAAAAATAGATAAATTTCTAACAGAGCTGCTTGAAAATTTTCCAGTGGCTAATTCCTCAGCCAGAGGCTGCTCTACGTGGAGTGTCTGCAAGACTAATCAAGTCTTTGGAGGCTCCCAGGGGGTCTCTGTGTTTATATGGCCCAATATGAGTGAATCCCAACCAGCTACCACTACCAGCAAGTAGATCGACGCACATGTCTCCTTGACTGTGACTGGGGTCCCAGTGGGCGCCAGCTATGGTCACTCAATTAGGGTGAACTGCAAAGAATGGACAGTCTGTGACGGGTTAGATCACAGAAACCCCCTTGGAACTGCCACCTGATTTGCTCTGACTACCTCTGAGCCTGTTTTCCCCGCCAGCTTGGGACTTCAGTACCCTGCCTGGTTTGAGCCAGACCCGCTAGCCTGCTCCAAACACAGCCCCAGGTCTGAACCATGTCCCCCAACGGCTGCAGGCTTAACTGAAAACAGAAAAAAAGAAGTGTTCCTGTCTCTAACACTCAGATGCCCAGGTCCCAATAGCGTCCAAACCCCAAATAAATCCATTTTACCCTATATAAAGTATATACAGCAGGGGTCAGCAACCTTTCAGAAGTGCTGTGCCGAGTCTTCATTTATTGACTCTAATTTAAGGTTTCGCGTGCCAGTAATACATTTTAACGTTTTTAGAAGATCTCTTTCTATG